GTGTGTTCGTCGATGTGACGTTATTTGAATCGGCAAATTGGCGACCGATCCCCGCAAATCCGGTACTCGACAGCGGCTGCAAAGCAAAGACACCAATTTGGCGGCAACAAGCCGCATTCGACGACTATTCGACTATTTCTGCGGTTTTCCTTTTACGGAACAGTGATGAAAAAACATCGAAAAGCAACGATCGCATTTACTACTTTAGAATTTTTATAAAAGCAAGGTAACGCAATGTACTGTTAAATGCTTTTAAAAAATCCAGTAAAAATGAGTATAAAAGAAAATATATTTAATTAATTTATTAACCTATACATGAAAATGAAAATTTTTAATATCTTTCACGACCACTACCGCCTATCGTTTGTAACTAAGATCACTACGACCAGTTTAAGGAATTTAGATTTTTTAGTAAAAATGCTTATTCTATACAGTGATCTGTCCCCTTGTGTCTGTTAAATAGTTATATTTATAATTGTGCAATTTGGAGGGCGTACGCAAAGTCTTGGCATACTAGTTCAAATTTGTCGGCGGAAGTTGCCCTACATTCTTCAACAATTCAGTGTTTTAAAATGTTAGAACTGTCGGGTGCTATAGCGTAAACCTTGGACTTTAAGTACCCCTACAAAAAAATCTAATAGGTTAAGGTCCGGTGACCGAGCTAGTCATTCTATAAAACTTCGTCATCCAATCCATCTACCAAGATATTAGTCATCTAGGTAATGTCTTTGTATTGCACCGTTATAGTGTGCAAAATCATCATTGTGTTAATTTTATTCAAAGTTGCCAAATTTATCTGGATTATCTTTCAGAATTTCAAGAATTAACGGCTCAGTTCTCCACATGCACTATACCGGTTAGGTACAGATTAAGAATTTTCTTTTATATAAAACCATTCATAAAGAAAATAACCTTCTTAAAAAAAAACACAACAAAATAATGTCAAAAATAGTAAGGCTAGATGTCAGCTTTCATATGTCAATACAACATTTTGAGACAGAGAATAATTACGACATTTATGATCACGCCCCAATAGATATAATTTTAATTATTACAGATTCTTAAATTTTAAACGAAAGCAATTATTGTTATTAAAAAAAACGTTTGTCTTTACTTAGAAAACTAAACAAAAAATGTTACTTTTAATTCACATAACATATTGCACTAAGACTTCTGGAATTTTTGCTAACATCTTTGGAGTTGAATTATCTGGACAAAATCAAAGAAAAACTACATCCATTGGAGGTTGAAACTGGCACATTCAAATACAAAACTGTTTCAGGAGCATACTAAACGAGGTAAAGAGGCATCTATGCAAAGCTTGCAAAAACGGGATTTTCAAAAAAAAAAAATAGGAACCAAACTTGTTCACTTTTCAAATATTATAAATCTTCAGAACATCGAGCAGTGGTCACTCTTTCAATATGACATATTACATAGAAAGGAAATTCCACTATTTTTGGCGAATTAATGCTGGGTCACTTCATAACAATTAACAACCTCCGTCAAGCTCAAGCAACTCTTTCCACCTAAAATTGACCTTAACCTCGCCGATCTCAAAAACCGGCCAGTTACCTCTCCCCTTTCTGAGCGCACTCGCTTATTCCACGGAACCAATCAAATTCTTTCAACTTCCAATCGTGAAAATAACCTTGAATCTACTTCCAGAGTTATTACGTCTTAGAGAAAAAGCACAAGACTTGCAAATCGTATCGTATAAGATTAAACGCAATATATCGGACATTTAAACTTCCGTTGCAAACAAATAGAACCCAAAAATTCATATCTCGGACAGAGGCGTACTACAAAATTTTATACATAAATATTTCATAGTTAAAAGAAATTTAAAACGCTACAAAATAAGCATTTAAATAGGTAAATAAACAGTTTAAATTAAAACCAATAGCAAAGATTAAAAATAAATATAATTTTACAAAAAGGAAAAGAAACGTTTTAATGAAACAAACTAAAAATTTATTTATTAAGTTTAAAATTTTACAGAAATAAAAATAAGCAAAATTAACTTAACTTTAATGAAAAAGTTCTTTTTTGGTAAAAGTTAAACTTTAAATTTCATTTTATTTTCAATTTTTGGCTTAACTTTCTGAAACCGCAACAAGTTACCTACTAGCTTTATGGTGCAGTATCTTAACTATTGACTATGTTTATTAAAATTAACAGAAACAATTACATATTTTTTAAATTTTTAAGGAATAATTTAGAGCAATGTAATTACGTCTGGATTTTGTACATCATTTCGAAATTTACTTACATTTCTTTCTATTATCGCAATCCCAAGTAAAAACATATAATGTAAAGAAGTTTTGCGTTACCTATAATATTATATATCTGGAATGAAGACTCTTCTCCACTATCCTTAAATTAGGACGTCTCTGTCTGGCACTGACGGTAATCGAAGCTTCAACCCGACAACGAGTAAGGCGCTTTCACATGTCAGCGAATATTCTTTGACATGTCTTATTTTTTCACAAGTGCAATTTTAGTTTATTCCCCGCGGTTTTCTCGTGTAGGGTTTAACAGGTTACACACAAAACAGTAAATTGTGTGAGCCAAGAAAGGGTGACTTGAAGAATAGAAATGTATTATCGAAAACAAACAATAGTTTTACGATTTTTAATTTGGAAACATGTATAGAATAAATTTTTAATTTATTTATAATAAACAATAAACATAAATAAAAAATACAAACTAATAAAAAATTAATAAAAGTTCTAAAAACGTAGTTTATAAGGCCAAATCACACCTTTAACCCTTATTATCCTGAAGTATTATATTTACAAAAAATGTTATATTTGATCGTAAATTATTGTTGAGTCCTGTAGTCGAGGTTTTTACCCTTTTTTAACAAAATAAGCTAAAACACGGTATTAGCTGTTACATATATTTAACTCTAGGACATACAAGGAGCAAAATAATAAAACCTGCTAAAGGCATATTAAATTATAATATTTAAGCATAATCAATGCAGTATCAATCAAATGAACAATAATATTACTCAAATATTGAAAAAAGCCAAAAAGAAATACTGTCCTCGTCCTTAAATTATTAACAAAAAATTAAGCAACAACACAAAACATCTTCTATAGGAAAGACGAAAACTTAGGGAAAATCATAATCATAACCAAAATGAACTGAGAATTTTAAATAAAATAATTAAAAAAGAAGTTAGAAAAGATCTGAAACAATACAATACGATGAAAATAACTAGAGCAATAAAAGAAAACAAAAACTTGAAAGTACTCAGACAGAGCATGTCCATTGGAAGAAAAAACGTCAAAATACAAAGAACAGCAATCGTAACCGGATTGGATCATTACCAAAGATAATCAATCAGGGATCTGAAATTTTACTCAACGTAATACCCAATAAAGTTCGAAGTCCCCCGGAGGCGATGAAATAGTGGCAGATGCCTTGAAAGTGGCTGGAAAAAGATTATGGCAGGTCCTTGCCAGACTATTCACTAGATGTTTGCAGAAAGCAATAACTCCAACCCAGTGGTATAACGCAGAAATGATCATACTTTATAAAAAATGGGATGCTACCCTTCCACTAAAAGCAGCTCTATCCTGCTCTATCCTATATCTAATTTCGCCCTGACTTTCTGGGTTACAATTTAATTGCTGTCCAAGGTAAACGATTTTATCGACTTGCTCAAGTTTGGTATTATTTACATATATAGACATTTTTTTTGCTGTTGTTTACTTATTATGAGTATTTTGGTTATCCGTATGTTCAAATCCAGGCCTGCCTTCCTACAACTCTCAACGACACTATCAAGTAGTGTTTTCACATTGTCTTGACTAGAAGCTAAGAGTACTGTATCGTTCGCATACCGCAAATTATTGATGTATTCACAAGTATTCCTTCTTGTTTTTCATAAAGTGCTTTTCTGAAAAATTTTTCGGAGTAAACGTTGAAAAGTAGAGGTGACAAGCAAAAGGCATCCCTGCCGTACTCCTCTTTTAAGATTAAGAGGCTGTGATTCCACACCACCTACTAAAACTGATGTATATTGATTTTACTATAAATTTGCAATTATTCGAATATCTCTGCCGTCCAAGCCAATGTCTTTTAGAGCGTCGATCAATATAGAGTGCTAAATACAATCAAATGCCTTTTCTGTTTAAGTTCTTCAATGTTCTGACACTGTTTGGCTAGATGTTGACTCTTTGCTTTGCGTATTTTACGTAGAATTTCTTTTTGTATGCTCCTGTAAAGTGCTTACAAGAAGAGTGCTTAAAGGAAGGATAAGATAACTAACCAAGTTGTATTAGACAGGATGAACAAACAAAAGGAGGTCGTATTGAGTGTTAAAATGAGGAAACTACAGTACCTGGGACATATTACACGTGGGAATAAATATCAACTGTTACAACTAATTATGCAAGGAAAGATTGAAGGTAGGCGCAGCATAGGTAGGAGAAGAATGTCATGGTTGAGAAACCTCAGGGAGTGGTTTGCTTGCACTTCCATACAATTGTTCCGAGCGGCAGGATCCAGGGTCAAAATTGCCATGATGATAGCCAACCTTCGTAGCGGAGATGGCACGTGAAGAAGAAGAAGAAGTAAAGTGCTTCTTTGTTTTCCGCTAGTCGCCGTTGTTCCATCAAATCGAATATGTCATCTGTCATTCAAGCTTGCTTTTTTAGCTTTGACCTGCCTTGTAAATTTCTCACACAGATTTCTTTTACTGTTGTTACGATTTTTTTTAAGCCCTCATCGATGTTTTCACCAATATTTTCCCAAATTAAATTTTCGTTCAGTTGTCTTTAAACTGATAGTTAATTACAACACGGTTATTAACATATAAACGATGGAAATATTTGCGAATATAGTCTCAACAAGACTTTGAAACTATAATTTATGTCGCGGTTCATACCATATTTATTATTTAAAGATAAAAATTAGAATATAATAATATAAGAACTGTATAACACAAATTAATATAATATATAACTCTACTATAGAAATAAACTTACCGCTCTGAAAAACTGATTAATATTCCTTGGATTAGTATCCACGATCAGCTTATAGAGTTCTTTTTGTCTGACTTCCCGCAGGACCTGCCTATAAGATCCAGGGCCAGCTTGCCGGATGTACATTTCTGTCCGGGCTGCGCCCGGCGACTTCACCAATTCCTGCAGTTTGAATAAACCTATAACAAACAAGATTTAACATTAAAGTGAGTTTGGATTTTAGGCCGTTTTTTGTTTACTTAAACGAGATGCCCGGTTAGAGAAGTTAAAAACTTCGAGTTGTTTTTGTAGGTATAGGAAGTTTGGATGTTTATTTATCTTCAGTTATAAAAAGTTTCGGTGAATAGCTGCGCCTTTTCAGATTTGCTCGACGATGTTCAACCGAAAATTTTTTGTCTACTGAGTCGAAACGTTAGGAAGCGTCTTGATTTGTAAGAAAGGAAAAGTTTTGATTAATTTTAATTAATGCTTTCCATTATTTTAAATTGTAAATATTTTTATTCCGATCAGCCTACCATCTTTTTTTGTTAAAATAATGTTACCATTGTGTAACTAATTAGTTATTGCTAAACATATAAACATATAAATAATATCAAATACCTACACGTTAATTGCAGTGAAGCATTATCTAAAATATGTTTTAAATTAAAAAGGTTATTAAACAAAATTTTTATTGCTATTTTGAGTCAAATAATCACTTTAGCAACTCATAACATAGATTCAGAAGTGCTCGTTCTACTTATAACGCGGTATTTAATGTTGTGAGCAAGGTGATGACCAATTTTTCTTTGCGAATTGTCGAAGGCTTTTGAATATGTTTTACACTACATTTTGCTCCACAAATTAAAATACTATGTCATGTGGTATATATCATGTGGTAGACACAGGCGACATTGTTAATTCAGCTTTTCTTTTACACGTTTTTTACTATTTAAACTGGGTTTAATAAAAATTTATAAATATAGTTGTCACTAGTAGTTAGCTTTTTATTTCAGTTTCTACTTACCAGTATATTATAGCAATACAAGGTAAATAGTGGTTTTTTAAAGTAATTTCAGATAATTGTATTAGATATACCTGTTTCTTGTTTTTTATCCATTTCTACATTCTCAAACTAGTCTTGAATGGCGCTCTCATTCAGTACTTTAGTCAACTTTTACTAATAGTGCCCATAGTATATTTACTCATAGTGCCTTTAATACAAGATTAAATTCTAAGTCGTCCTATCTTATTTCATTGTTTGTATTACAAGGTCTCATTTTCTTTCTTGTTTATATAATTTTGTCATCCCATATATTGGTGTTTTTATCCTAAAGCCAATCCTAAGTGTAAAAAAGCAGACCCGAATTCTCCCCTTAGATTTGATGTCTCTGATCCTTTAAATTTATTTCTCTGAGCTAAGCCATTCTTTATTAGTACTTTCAATAACTTCACTCCAAATTCTTCTTTTTGTAAATTCTTATTCCCAAAATACAACACCCCATAATAATGGGGTTTCAACGGAGGACAAGCGTGGCCACCATACAAACTTGAATTTTTAAACTAATCTCACCTCCCAATACATGAAAACAATAAAAACGCGTGCTCTCAGAAATACAAACACTAATTAAACTTTTCAGTGATATACTATGTGCCATGTAAATCCGAACACTTAGTTTAAATGATTTTATTTTAATAAAATTTTGTATAAGTACTTAATAAAGCATAATAAGTAAATGATTAAAATTTCAAAATGATTGTATTGGTTTAAAGCCCTTTTACCTTTGATAATATGTGGATGCCGATGTGTTGCGCATTCTCCAATGCACCTAGCCATGATTATAATCAGGTGGTCAATGTCCTCTTGTGATATCTCATTCCAGGCAACCACCAACTCCTCTCGAAGTGCTTGTAGAGCCTGAGGAGGACGTTGCAAATTGATGAATCTCCTACCCATCATATCCTACACGTGCTCAATTATGAATGAGTCGGGAGATCTTGCTGGCCATGCTAACAATGTGATATCATTATATTGAAAGGAGTCTATTTTGACTCTTCCAATATGTGGTCGGCATTATCTTGTTGAAAAGTTTGATTTGCCAAGGTATCAAGATAGGGTAAAAGTTGGGGTTCTAGAACTTCTTGGATATAACGCTGCGCGTTCATGTTACCTCTGATAAAGCAAAAAGGTTACCTCAAACCATAAGCTATAGCACCCCAAACTATAAATCCAACAGTGTGACTTTCAACAAAAAACTGTAGATTCCTCCTTTCACCACGCCGCCTTCGAACCCTTGCTTGACCATCGTGCACGCCTAAACAAAATCGAGACTCGTCAATACAGACAATACTGTTCCATTCCTGATTCCAGAGTGACCGTTCTCTGCACCACTGAAGGCGATTACGGCGGTGTTCTGAAGTTAAAGGGAGGACCCAGTATGAAACAGGGTATGAAAACAGGCCAAAACTTCTCATTCGTCGGTAAACACTTCTCTTAAGTCCAATAATCTTAGGCGACAATATTCACGGTCTGTTGTTCTACGGCGGCGTTCAGTGCCCTTTGCTCTTTGCGTACGGGCTTCTTGAAGCCATGCCTGATAACACCTCACCACGGTGTCTACACTTCTTTGCACTCTAACTGCAAATTCCCGAGAAGAAAGTCCAGCTTCCCGAAATCCCATTATACGGCCCTATCAAGTGTAATCAAGTTAGGAGAGTGTAACGATGGAATGATAATAAATGGTGAAATTATTAATAATATAAGATATGCCGATGATACTGTCATATTCACTTCAACTCTGCAAAGTCTAACAAACATACTGGAACGGCTGAATGAAAAGTGTACCATATATGGTATTAAAATGAACTTCATGGCCAGAAAACAAAATTCATGGTCATAACAAAACATCCAAAAGACAACGAGACACTCCATATTAATAATATCCAGATAGAAAGGGTAGATAAATACAAATATCTAGGAACATTGGTTAGTCAAAACGCAGAACAAACGCAAGAGATTAAAAGCCGTATAGAAATAGCAAGGGCAAAATTTGTAAAAATGAAACATCTATTGTGTAGTAGAGACCTAAGAATGGATCTAAGGATAAGGTTATTGCGCTGCTACATTTTTACAACTTTGCTTTACGGATCTGAGGCATGGACATTGAAACAACTGGAGATTAAGAAATTGGAAGCTTTTGAGCGTTGGTGTTATCGAAGGATGCTACGAATAGCATGGGTAGACAAAATTACCAATATTGAAGTCCTTGATAGGGTTAATAAGAGGGAAGAAATTGTACAGACAATTAAGAGGCGGAAACTTGAATATTTCGGTCATATATTAAGAGGTCCTCGTTATGGGCTACTACGTTTGATTATAGAGGGCAAAATAAAAGGTAAAAGAGATGTAGGAAGAAGACGAACCTCCTGGCTACGAAATCTAAGGGAATGGTTTAGTCTGAGCTCTAGCCAACTATTTAGAGCTGCTGTAAGTAAAATAAGAATTGCCATGTTGATATCCAACCTTCGTTAGAAGATGGAATCTTAAGAAGAAGAAGAAGGCCCTATCAAACTCAGTAAGTTAACGAAATCAAAAGGTCTTTGTACTCTAGGCATTGTAACCAATCGTAAAGAATGCCAAGAACCACAATCCGCCAAATTTGGATCTTTACTGCGGCTAAAGTAATAATTTTTAGATTGTTAGTGAATTTAAAAACAAAAAGTTTAAAATCCGTAATCTCCAAGTGATAAGGCTAAAAACTTTATCACTTGTTTTTTTCAGTAAGATAAATAAATTACACCAAATTAGGTGTTCGGATTTCTATGTCACTTAGTATATTATGGTTATGAAATTTATTATAGTTTTATGATAGTAATGCAATAAAAACTATATATTCTTCATCAGATTAGTTTAGATAATTTTTTTTTTTGACAAAATATTTTCTAAAATATATATTTGAAGTTTTCCCCGTATATAAGCTCCGGTGTAATTGTGTTTCTCTTATTAATAATTCAATAGTATCAAATAAAACTCATTTGACTACCCAGTCGAGCGAAAAACATGCAATGAAAAATTGAAAACAAAGTGATTTATGTCCAAGATTCATTTCTTCTTCTTTTGTGTAATCCAATTTCGTGCCAAAATACTTAATAAAGAACAACTAAAATCAAATTATAAACTTGGATGGACTATTCTCCGGATTTTGTAATTCTTCGACGAAAAGTTGTTTGGAAGGAAAGGAAGTAGAGAGAACAAAAAATTAGATTTGATAATTAAGACGCCAAAATGATATAGGAGTGACAAATTGTTACAGAAACTTCTTTGGAAGTTACGTTTTTATGGCTCGTTTTTTACTTCGTAATAGGAACTATGCTGCAATAAATTAGTTTAAATAACACGCAGCGTATTTTGCGTCAAGTTTAAAACTAACAGGCGTAGTTGTGATAGTATTGGGGAAAAATCTTATTTTTGTATATACAAGGGTGTTTTTAGAGTATTAGAAAAAAATTACTTAGTTGAACTAAATAAGTAACTGAAGGGCTTAATGCAAAACAATAATAAGCTACATAATGTTAAAAAAGATAGTACTATATACTGTTCAAATAATAGTATTTGCGTTCTCGAACGACTATAGGAAGCAGCACTTGTTTTGAAAGATCATTATCATCATCAATGGTGCTACAGCCCTATGAAAGAGCCAGGCAGTTTTATCCATTGCCAACCGTTGCCAGTTTGCTGCGCCTATCTTTCTACCATCCTCATCTACACCATCCTTCCATCTGAGTTTTGGCCTGCCCCTTTTTCTGCTTCCCACGGGTTGTGACATAAGGATTCTTCTAGGAGGGTTGTTCTGTTGTGATCTTGCTAGATGCCCTGCCCATCTTAATCTTCCTATTCTTTTAAGAGATACTACGTCTTTACCACCAAATATTTGTTTATATCTGTGGTATACCTCGTAGTTGTATCTCCTCCTCCAAACACCATTTTCACAGATGCGACCAAATATTCCTCTCAGGATCCTTCGTTCAAATATAAGCAAAAGGTCTTCGTCTGCCTTGGAGATGGCCCATGTCTCCGATCCATATGTCAACACTGGCTGTATAAGGGTTTTGTATATAGTTATTTTTGTTTTTTGGCTTAAGTTTCTACTTCTCATATGTCTACTCAGTATAAAATAGCATCTGTTTGCCATTACTATCCTTCGCTTGATTTCTTCCGTTATGGCGTTCTCTTTGGTTGTTTTGAAAGATAGTGGACGAAATATGGATATCGTTTTTTTGACATTGTATATTCGATAGGGTATTTTAAGAGATACCTAATTGTAGGGTAAGCAATTTTAGATTCCAACCATCTTCTTCTTCTTTGAGTACCGTGCCCAAGTTTTACGCGTGGATAGCTTCCATGACGATTTCCAATATCTTTTTCGATCTTGCGCGGCATATAAAAATTCATCTGCTGATAAGCCAGTCCATTGTTGAAGGTTTTGAAGCCATGAGTATTTCTTTTCACCAATTCCAGTTTTTTCGTCGATTTTTCCGTTAAGTATCAACTGCATTATCCTGTATCTGCTTTTTGTCATTATATGCCCCAGATATTCGAGTTTTCTATTTTTACCATCTTTATTAAGTCACCTTTACCTTGACCTACTCTGTTCAAGACTTCTCTGCTTGAACTGTGTTGACCCTATGATATTCTGAGCATTATACGATATAACCACATCTCAAAGACTTCAAATTTGTTCATCATGTTAACCTTCATAATCCAGGTTTCACATCCATACAGTGATACAGGACACACACAACATTTTAGGAATTTTCAGCTGTAAGTTCAGCTGAGAATTGCTCAGAATAGATTTAAGTTTTATGAATGCTTGTCTTGCAATTTCTATACGAGTTTTAGTTTTTTTGTCCGGATTTAGTGTCTCGTTTATCCAACATCCTAGGTATTTAAAATGGTTAACTTTTGTTAAAGATTCATTATTGACAATTAGTTGTATAGCGCCAAGGTCTTGTTTACTAACCACCAGTAACTTTGTCTTTGTTATATTATGCTTAGTCCATTACCAGAGCATTCTCTAGTAACTCGATCTATAAGAAATTGAAGATCATCGATACTTTCAGTAATTTCAGTTTAATATCTGATGTTGTTAATAGTTTCTCCCCCGATTCGAACCCAACATTGCCCTTCCAAGCCTTCAATACAAATCATTTTTAAGTAAACAATAAACAAAGTTGGCGACCACACACAACCCTATCTGACACCCCTTTAAATACAAATTTTGTCTGTTTCTTTGCCATCTACCAGAATGGAAGTTTCTTCATTCCAATATAGATGTTGTAAAAGTCTTAGATCTTTATCATCCATTCCAATCATTGCTAACACCTTCTCAAAATCTATAAAACAAACCTAAATTGGTTTCTGTACTTCTCATGATTGTATTAATATGGAATATTATTATGTAGTGGAAAAACCGCAGTAATGCAAGAATTGTGCCTTCAAACGAGCAATTTGACAGGATAACACCACCAAATACAAGTGAAATATAATGTGAGTGTCAATATTAAAAATATTGTTTGTAGTAAGGCTGTATTACCAACCATATTAAGGAAACCAACCAAGACGCTGGTATAAAGTTTTCTTTAAACGTCATCCAAACTTGACCCTAAAAGCTCTAGAACTGGTAACTTAAGCAAGCAGCTGCTTTTCTGGAAAGGACATAAAAAACTGGTGTTCCAACATCGAAAATTTAAAATTTAAAATTTAAAAAATTTAAACGAGAAAAATTATTTTGATATATTGTTTCCTATTTTATCCTTAGGAGGATTAAGTTTTTGCTCCTCGCTGTGCTAAAAATGTTTACCTACTCAGCCGCTGGCTCAGTAACTTCTCCGATGATCATTAACTTCTATAAGAGGCTTGCTGCTGCCGTTGATAAAATTGTTTCTGATGCGTGGGTATTAGGTTCAAGCGATGATGGCTGGATGAAATCTGAATTATTTGTAAACTATATTTTAAACATACTCCATCCCCTTCTTTACAAAAACGAAATACAATTTCCTGTCATTATTTTTGTGGATGGTCACAAAACTCACATGAGCTATGAACTAAGTATCCTTTGTAGAAGACTTCAAGTATTACTTGTTGTATTATATTAAAATGCTACCAGAATTCTTCAACTATCAAATTTTAGCTGCTTTAAACATGAAATATGCTTAAAAATGTTCAATTCTAAAATATCGAACAAATAATTCCTTCATTGGATTGATCAAAACTTATTTTGCACCAATAGTAGAAGAATCCTTAAGGTCACTAAAGAGTTCTTCAGTTTGTTATGATTTTAAAGCTTGCGGATTGTATCCCTGGAATGTCGAATCAATAGACTTTCCCAAATATATTAAGACAACAGTACCAGATATAGCTGTTGAAAACAGGAATGGAAACGACAGTTGCGAAATGACATATAATTACTTTATTTTTATTGTTAAACAAGAAAAATTAAACTAACTTAGACAGTACTGGAAAAACTGGGGAAAAGCAGTGAAACTAAAGATTTCCAATTTCTTGTATAACTATTTTTTAAATTAACAAAAGGGGAAGCTGCCAAATCATGCAATTCTAGTGCAAATATTTTCCTTGTTACTTTGCTGTCCAATGGTGAAGAGTGTAAGACACATCAAAATGAAGAGAGGAGTTTTGAAAAGTGTTATCTGCCTGTACCGAATTTTACCTAAGAAAGTATTGAAGATATGAAAATAGTTTTCGGAGATAGTGTACTTATCCAAAAGAAATCTGAAATCATAAGCCACACTATAACGAAACCAAATTCCCAAGATAACCAACTACGATTTTAAACAACTAGGAATTTCAACAATAAACATAAAAATCAACAAAATTCGGATCAAGAAAGTAGAAGGCAAACAAAGTCAAGAATTAAAGTACCATATTCAAGCTAACCCTACAAATAATTGTGATTCTATCGTGAAAGCTGACAATCACAAGTTGTGCGACACTGCTATGGCAATAACAAAAATGCCATACGTGATAACATCTAGCGGGTGGCAAAAAAATTATGAAGAAAAGGAAGAAGCTAACCTAAAGAAAAAGATACCTCACTCTTTATGTAAAGTGTGCCAAAGAAATGTGTAGTTACTTATCTTTTCTGTTCACACCATAAATATTTTTATTTTAAGTTTTAATGTATTTTTGTTCATTCAATTAAAGTGTTTATTACAAAACATTTCAGCTTAATTACAGTTTTAAGTGTAGTAATAAATAAAAGTAATATCATTATCACTATCATGTGTCCAATGACTCCAATGACTACAGCCCTGTGAATACCAATAACTACAGACAACGTGTCAATAACTAGTACTTTCTCTATTATTTTTTATTTAAATTATTTTGTTTAAATATACTGCCGTTATTATTAAAAACGAAAGGTAGGACATCAAACAGCCCAGAATAGAAGTTCCCGAAATTGTGATTCTTTTCTTGTGGAACTCAGAAATATTTTTCTCGGGACATTTCCTTAAAGTGTCAATAACTGGATGCGTTACCCTAGGTTATGACAAGAATCGTTTAAGTAGCGATAAAAGGCCAACCGCCAAAAAAAATTTATTCGTTTGTACCATAGGTACCAGTATACTTTTGAAACTGCCTACAAATGACTTCAGATATAAACCCAGTATTTGTAGAAGCTACTTGTTTTTGTGATTAAGATAATATTGTCGTGGTTATCTTCTAATTTGTTTTGTATTCAACGACTCTTTAAATTCGTTTTACATGATTTTAAATTTAAGTAAATAATTTAAAAAATTTAACATATTCTATGTTGAGCTAATAAACCAAAAACTTTTTTTCAAACATTTAGTGAATTTTTGTGAGCTCTGGAGATTTAAACTGTTACAGTGGAAACAATTCATTTTTAAAATATGCAAAAACTGCAGCCCGTTAATTAAATAAATTACTACGTATTAGTCCTTTTTTGCTTTCAGCATGAAAGAGTTTGGAGTACAAAAGTCCGTGTGGATAATTAGAAAAAAAAAATAATTTTTTTTATCGAGTACAGTAAGGTGAGCTTACTTGGAGTTTTATTTAAATTAAACATTTTATACAGGATCAAAGGGCTTTTAGCATAATATAATTATACATAAGTTGAATATTTCATACTACTTTTATACTAACAGCGGAGATTTATTTTTTACACAGAGGTGACCACTCAAAAGAGCTCACGCTGAAAATAATGAAACAAGTCGATTTTGATTCCCAAAGAGTCATCTTATAACGATGTACAGAGCTGTCATATGTCAACCTTCTTTCCTTTAGTACCACAAATCCTTAATTTTAAATAGATAATATTCGATGTATCATTAGATAAGTAGGTATCTCACTGGAGAATTTACGCATTTATTGTTTTTCGTTATATTTTACTTCAAATTAACATAATTTTGTGAAAAAGTATTATTTTATTCGTGTTTAACCTCTTAAACCTTTAGTTCGTTTTCACTATTTTTTCTTTAAAAAAGTAGTTGGCGCCTTCTCTCTCTTTCTGTCTCATAGAATAAATATTTGCCTTTTTTCTCTTTGTCGAGTAAACTCAATATTCTGTTTTATGTTGACAGAGGAGCTTATTCTATCATAGCGTACGTCTTCTGACATCTGTGTCTAACTTCAGTTTAGTCCCTTTACTTTCTGTCAATCAACTTTTCTAACGTATTAGAATAATAATTCTTTTCCTGTTTTGGAATTTATAAATGAAGGCAAAAAATATTATAAGCTTCATTTTATGGTCTGCAGAATTATCTTGGGGTAAGTAATTTCATTGTAATCTAAACTCTATAATTCTGACAGCATTTTCAATATTCATACCTCACTAATTTCGAAACCACGTTTCCAGTTATATGTGTGTAGGAATCTTAACAGAATTTGAATAAGTTCAATAATAGTTATATTACATTTTATCCTTGCCATCTGCTATTTGTTTAATTGTAATTTTGTAAAATGACAAGAAAGTTAAACCCCCTTTGATGTTTACCTAATACAAGCTGTTTCTTATATTTTACTTTATTGGTCGTATTCAAAAATGTATTTGCTGTATTATTGGGTTTATTAGCCGTATTAAAGATTTTATGGAATATTTCTTAAACCACCTAATTGGGACACCACACAATTGTAATATGGAATAACATGCTCTGGAAGACCTGATTACCTAACTGGGAGGCCACGGATAGTTAGAAGCAAGCCGCCGATCGATGCCATGATGCCATAAGTATCGCCAAATTTTATTTACTGTAAAGCATTGGCAGTGTTATCTTTTCAATACAGACAAGACAAATTCACACATGGGATACTAAGCTAGACAAAGCATAGACGATAAGCTCCCATGGTTGATAGAGGTATTATTTTTATAATAGTATTTCAATTATCTTTGGTAGTTTTATCATTACAAAGTAACTAAAATAGGGTAAAGACACCACTTATGACCACTTCTTCTCTTTTTCAGATGCAAATCCACTAACGGATGTTAGCGATCACATTTTCCATTAATTCTCTATTTCTTGCAATATGTATCAGAGATTGTATGTCGTTAATCCCTGTCCATTGCCTTACGTTTCGGAGCCAGGACATTTTCTTGCGTCCCATTCCTCTCTTGCCTTCAATTTTACCCTCGATTATAAGTTAGAGGAACTGGTATTTTTCATTTCGCATGATGTGACCTAGATACGCCGTTTTCCTTTTCTTGATGTTTCGAAAAGTTGGCGTTCTTGGTTTATTATTTTAAGGACATCTATATTTGTGATTTTCGCTGTCCATGGTATTTTTAGGATACGGCGATAAAGCCACATTTCGAAAGCTTCCAATCTGTTTATATCCCTCGTTTTAAGTGTCCAGCCCTCTACGCCATATAGCAGCATTGACCATACGTAGCACTTAGTAAACCTTAGTCTCAGTTGAAGATCGAACTCTGACCACTAACCCGCCCATAATCATTCTCATTGTATTGTTCAACTGGGCATCTACTTTGTGTATATGTGGGCTGTTAAGCTATTCTGAAGAGCAGTATTTCGCGGTTGAGAAGACAAGGCTCAGGGCAGATGATCGCAAGGTGGAAGCCGATGCTCCCCATGCTGTGTCGCACAGCTTCTGGATGATGTTGTTTCTGGACTTTTTGATTTATAATTGATTTTATTTTGTTTGTGATTTTTTTATAATTTATTTTATGACTGATTTTATGTTTATGACATTCTATGATTATTAGATAGGCCAAAATTGACGAAATGCCCCTGAAGATGATCTAGGAAGCGAAAGTACTTGGGCAAGATTTAATTTATAAAACTGTGCTCGATTTCCACCTTTCATTTGATCAAAGTTTACTTATTCGAGCATTCAACCTTATATTAGTTTAGTATTAGTTAAATATGTTTGTAACTAACTACCTTTTTTAACGGTGAAGTAAATAAAGTTCTCTTAAATTCATCAAGCATTATTATTACCATTTGAACTTAAAATTGTTTCAACAAAGGAATATATTTTTTATTCAAACGTCAAATAATGATGACATTACTTATCTAACTTGATCCTGTCAAAGTTTGATATCTCCGTCGGTAGCAGTTTTTTTCCCATTTCTTTACGGCAGAGGGAAAAATGTTGTCATGGCAACAATATGAAACATGTCACAAAGCAACAATACAAATGTCATTAACAACAAATAAACATAATTTTTATTTATAGTAATAATAAAAGTACAATTATTTAATGAAGCATTTTCAAAATTGAAACCATGCAAAAATGTTCCCGACACTTGATACGCATTGGTAATTGTTGATGATACTGATGGTCGAGAACAACTTTCATCAATCATTCCCGATGTTGGCGAATCAAGAGGGTTTAAAATTTTTTAAGCATTATCGTTCTTATTTCTTATTGAATCCTCTATATATCCTTCGGCAACCGTGCTTGATTTCCAGCCCCCATGTCGTTTGAGGCATTCTAGATTTTCGCCTCCATCAATTAAAAGTGTTGTTGAAGTTCGTCGTAAAGAGTGACCCGTGTATGCGCTTGCATCATTTAAATTTAAATAACTAGCTACTTTTTGGGTTATTGCGCTGATCGAATGTATTCCCATGACGCTTCGGTAACACTTTCCATTTTGGTACTTGATAAAAAATCGGTTTTCTGTGAAATTTTCAGGCCGCAGTGATGCATACTTTTTATACAGTTTAATGTAGTTTTGACCAATTATCGTAAAAGATCTAATTTGTCGTGTTTTTCTGTTTGGGATTCTGATAATTATTACATTTTCTTTATTTTCAATGTCCACGGTCTTCATTTTTACCATTTGGTCGCATCGACAGGCGCCGGTAACCCCAATTAACAAAACAATCTGAAATATTTTTATAATTTAGTAGAGTATACTACATGCTTTGCAATATAATTTTTTTTTTACCTTTAATCCTAAATACAACTTATCTGGCGCTTCAAACAAAAATTTATCAAACTCGTCTTTAGTGAAAACTTTAGACTTCTTTGCAGTATATCCTTTGCTTGTTTTCTTCAGAAAGGCACGTAACTTTAAAAATTTGCTTATATCCACATTTTTTCTAATAACTAACTCGGATTTTATCATAGAATAAAATATGCCAGTAAAACGTCTGTTAAACGAAAATATTTTTATTTTCCATTATATTAAAATATGCCAGTAAAACGTCTTCGGTAACTTGCCGTGCTCCTCTTGTATCGCACCACTCTTGGAAGTGCTTGTACGCTAACCGATACTTTATTCCTGACTTGGAGGGCCCCAAACGTGCTACTGCATCATTAGCCGCGGACTCAATTTTGTTTAGGTTTTCCATTTTCGCACTAAATTTGCGCTTGCGGTTGCAACAACAATAAGCTGTCTTTAATAATTGCAAAAAAATGTCAAACAACTGTAACCAGGGAGACGCAAATCCTACCGACAACTTAATTATTTTAATTTCTACATCTAGACCACTTTGATAGTTGTCACAGTTAATTTCGAGTAAAAATAGCGTATGAATTGTACTATTTATGGTTGAAAATTGCTACGTTTGAAGAAAAAATAGTATACTTTATTCGGCAAAGAAGCGACTTTTCTTGAATTGCCCTCTATTACGCGCCTCACTTCGTTCGGCGCGTAATATCGGGCGCGTCAAGAAAAGTCATGCTTCTCCGCCTCATAAAATAATATACTAGAATTAAAAGTCTATATACTCACTATTTTTGTTGTAGAAAGGAGACAATTTACAACAGATATTATCTGGACTGACAATTTCTTTTCATAATCTATTACAATTAGAAATTTTCTCAACGGTTATATAACACGTTTAAATTAAAATGGAATACTCGATTCTTTCTCTGATGTAGCACAGTCAATACCACATTTTAAGAACTTTCTTCTACGAAAGTAAAACCTGTTAACAAATAATACAAAAATAGTAGAAACTGTAAAGTACATTGTATTATTCAAAGACAAACATTAGACCTCCTCTTTTTAAAGTTATGTATTAAAAAAACAGTAACTTTGTTGTATCTAACACAATAAAGTCGACTTAATTAAATTTTCGACAAAGCTTTATAAAACGACTCCTGAGGAGCTCATTTATACAAAAACAACCCTATCAAAAGATGAAATTTTCATTAATTAAACAAGTCTAACTCTACCTTATATCTTTAACTGTGTTGAGCAATAGTTCGTATATCTTCGTTAGTCAATAATTATAACACAGTATGAGGTAAAAACAATTAATTATCACCTGTTGGCAGGTTAATAGCTTTTCCTTTGTTTTCTCAAGTTCCTCAAGTTTTCCGCTCCTCTTAGTGGCGTAGGCTAAACATATTTTACGTGGGTTTTTCTAATTGGTTTTTGTTGTTTTTACTACTTTTTTTGGGTTTGTATTACATCATTAAATTGCAACAAAGATTTTAGTGAAAGTAATTAATTTATATAGTTATACACTGCAAAAATTAAGAAAATTCTTATTTTGACGTACTTACATGAATATTTTTATATCAAACTAAAGCTAATTTTTTTTTAATATCATGGTATCCGATTGTTTAAGGTAAAATGGTCGCAAATAGGGGTTGCCA